ATCGATCGTTTGACGCATGCACACGTTAGCTACGGATAAGGCTCTCGCGCTCGCCTTATACTGTCTATTCCGCACAGGCAGGGCCGCACAGGCGGACGACAACAAAAAGGTAGCTGACAATGGCCGAACGGAGTCGATTTACATATAGCGAACAATCGATACAGTGCAGCTAACAGACTGGCCAACAGGAGTGGGCAGATCCTCCTACCACATCTCGTCCCCTGTAAATCTGGCGCAGTGAGGAAATAACGTCATGAAAATCAAAATGGCAGCAGAAATAATCATCTAGCTAGCAGTGGATAGCAGCAATAACTGGCCACAGGCTGTGTACAACAGCTAAGGGCCGACAGACTTATAGCGATTCAAAACCCAATTGGACACGTCCTCGAGCTCGATCTTAGGATCCCACCTCCACCAGGAGTTCAACGAATACGGGCCAGCCAACTGTTCACGACGCAGCTGGCGGCGGGCGTCGTCAATCTCAGGTGCATAAAACCATTCGTCAGGCTTGATGTCAGAGTAAACCTCGGGCCAAGGGAAGGCTTTTTCGTTAGGGAATGGCTGTACTCCCTCTCTTGCGCGAACGGCCTCGTACTTGTAGATGTGCTGGACTAGGGCTTCAGGCTTACGAAGACCACTATCACGACCAAGCTCATCCTTCATCACGGGCAGAAAAGCACGAAGAGAACGGGCAACGAAGACCATACCATCGGGCCGGAGAGGCATAACCCGGGCCAAACGTTGAACTTGATGTAGAGCTCGCTCGCAATGACGCTGACAGCAACACACTACTGAGCAATCATTTCTTACCGGGCCATCTATGTGCCCTCCTCCACAGTGGTAGAAGACGGTTAGAGCAGGAACTGAGGCAGATCTCAGCCATCTCAAAATACCGTTGGCCGCAACCAAATAAGGCTCAGGCCAAATATCACCATCCTTCCTCCACACCCTCGGGCCGGCAAGTAGCTCACTAAGGAAAAGCATCTTGCCAGAGACATCCCAGTCCCAAGCGGGGATCTGGCCGGCACATAAAGGGTGGTCGATCACCAACTCAGCGTCTTCAGCGAGACCTCTACAGGCAGATGGGAAACCCTTCCAGAAATCCTTAAGGTCTTCAAGCTCGGTAGGATCCGTGACCTTAATATCGTCGTCGTATAACCACCACACGTCTCCACGACCAGACCGGGCCGAAGAGCGTGCGACTACATCATTAAACCGTACATCGGGCCGAGGTTTCAAAGCATCACCCCAGCCAGGGTGAGGAACCCCAGCTCGTTGCAGAACTTGATCAGTGCTCCAGTCAAAATCCTTGGAAGAACGTCTTCTAGGCGAGATAATCGAAGCCACAGGACGATCTTCGGAAGAACGCACCTCCAACGAACGCTTCTCCAAACCGTCATTTTCTTTCTCGAGGAGCTGGTCGTTGACTACCGATCTCACCGTAGGAGTTGTCGAACTCATACAGGCCAGTAGACCTTCTACAGGGAACATACGGGCTTGCTCCCAAGCTCCAATCTCTTCCAACAGGCTGGAGACAGCGGTCGCAACTTCAGGTGGGACTACGAACACGAAGGCCGAGGGGCTCACCTCTTCCTCTAGAACCTGGCGGAAACTTTCGACCGTATCCTTCCATACGTCCCCAGAGACGACAGTAGACTCTGGCGAAGAAAACGAGGTAGCACCATCCTTGGAGCAGGCCGAATCCCCAGCAGCTCTAGGAGGCGTGGTCGGCCCGTGGGACCCTTGGGCCGAGCCCCGATCTATAGTCCCCGACAGCGGCAAATTACGTATCGGAGAAGGCTTCGCAGTACGATACAGTTCACCCAACAGGCCATCCAATAGACCGCTGGACGGACACGTAGCCTCCACAAAGACAAACGGTGGGTCACCTTCCACGACAACAGATGGCCAACGTTAGTACGACAGCGTTCAAAGACCATCAAACTGCCGAATATACACCAAGTGAACGTCGTTCGAGGCATCGGTAGGGGGAAGTCTCCCCAAACATGCGCTCGACCAACCAAATCTCGTCGTTGTCGTGGTTGACCAATACCTCATCAGATGTCATCGTCCATGACCAGTGTCGGAACCGGCACCAATCCTGGGACAATTCAGTTCCCGAAGGAAGTCGGACGAGTGCAACTCATCAGAACGCCAAATTAACGGCCTTGAATCGGGCTTCCCTAATAGCAGAGGAAGCAACACGGTTCCCGAAAGAACTCATCACGAGGCCAAAGTCATGGCCTTTAACCAGGCATCCCGAATATCAAGGGACGCAACATACTCAGCCATCGCTCCTATCCGGGTCTCACGTTCCCCGAACA